CATTCCTGTCAGAAGGAGGCCTATGGGGCTGCCATGAGCCAGAGGAGTACCCACAGGACTCAAAGGAATGCAAAGCAATGTAAGGATTTAACACCTTGTTTTCAGCTAAAACAGAGACCACTGCAGGGCTCAGAGCAGGATCTCAGAGATACCATTCGATCACCTGTTCTTCACATCTAGCGCCAGGGCTGTGAGGGCCTCTTCTCCATTCCCATCTTTTCCCAGGTAATCTCAAATCCCAAATCTTTAAAAGCCACGTATATGCTATTTAACATCTGCGCCTCCCCGACCAGACTGTGAGATCCCGCCCGCTATTTACTCAACATCTTTTCTTTACTCACCTGAAAAGCTTCTTAAGCCTAATCACCAACTCCTTCCCCAGAGCAGGCCTGCTCCACCCCCATCCTCTTCAGGTGGCAAAAGATTCCACAAACGAGGAAGGTCTCCAGGCCAAAAAGCTAGAGTCACCCCTGAACTCCTCCCAGCACCCACCCCTAACCCATCAGTAAGTACTGGGCCTCCTGCCTTAAAAGTCCATCCAGAGCCACACACACTCCTCACCACCCCCTTTCACTTGAGCTTGGCAGCTGTCCCCCGCACCCCTCGCCCTCCCCTCCTCGGTGCTTGTACAGGCCCTGGCGGGTGGCTCTCCTAGGGACCCCCTCCCATCTCATCCCGACAGAGGCCTTCCCTGGCCACGCTGCCCCTCACCGGCCGCCCCCTGCGCGTGCTCTTCAGCCGCCCCCGTCTCTGACGTCCCTCGTCTGACTCGTTGACCCACTCGTGTCAGGGTGCAAGCAGAACAAAAAGGAAATCTAGGTTGACAGGGCATCTTGGCCTCCCCAACACACTGCTCAGCCTAGAAAACACTCAAGTGAGCGTGTAAACACATAAATGCTGCGACCAAGACTCGTCAGAAGGCAAGTGCCTAGGGAACGTCAGGGTGGAAAGAGGGACGTGGAGCCTAAGTCTCGGTTTGCATCCTGGCGCCCACCTTCTGTGACTCTGCTGCTGACACCCCAACTTTTCTGAGCTGACTCTTTTAAGGGTCAACCTAACTGCTCTGGAAAGTTCTAAGTTCGTGGTGGCCCCCAATGCCATCCCTGGAACACAGTAGGGCTCGCTGACTGAGACTGAGCCCACTTTCTGTTGACACCCATCACTGAGACACCTCACGGTCGTATTGTGATGCACAGGTACCGGGACTAGTCAGGGGTGGTGACCCAAAGGAGTCCTGACTAGTCAGCGGTGGTGAGGCAGAGGCACCCCGACTAATCGGGGTAGTGAGGCAAGGGCACCCCAACTAGTCAGGAGTGGTGACCCAAGGGCGTCCCGACTAGTCAGGGGTAGTGAGGCAAAGGCACCCCAACTAGTCACGGGTAGTGAGGCAAAGGCACCCCGACTAGTCAAGGGTGGTGACCCAGAGGCATCCCCACTAACCACGGGTAGTGAGACAAAGGCATCCTGACTAACCGGAATGGTGACCCAAGGGCGCCCCAACTCGTCGAGAGTTGCTGGTGACCCACGGGCACCCCCTAGTCAGTCAGGTGCGGGGACCCCCCCGCTCCGGACCCCGACGGCCGCGCCGGGCCCACCTGTCCGGTCTGCGGTCGCCCGGCGGCCTCGAGGGGCCCTCAGCGTCCTCCGGCTTCCGGCGCCTCCCGTCGGCCGTGCGTTTGCGTCCGAGGTTCCATCTTGAGGCGGGCGGCGGGCTGGCGACAAGACACCACGTCAGGGCGGGGCGGCCCGGGACCCCCGCCCGAACTCCGCCCGCCGCTCTCCAGCCCGGGAGCCCCCCGCGCGCGGCCCGGCCTTACCTGGCGTCGCCGTTGCGGCGGCTCCCGCACCCGTGGGGACTTCGCGGCCGGCAGGCCATGGCGACGCGGCGGGCGGGATTAGGGGGGACTGGGGGTACGGCGGTGGCGGCAGCGACAACGGCGACTTCCCCTCCTCGCGACGCTGACTGCGCGCGCCCCGCCCCCAACAGCCTTTATGGGCCGCCGCCCCGCCCCCCCCCGGGCTCCCGCGCGCGCCGGACCGGTCGAGACCATCGGGCCCGCGCCGGGGGGAGCCGCTCGGAGGCCCGCGCCCCGCAGGCCGTCCAGGCCGGGCCGGGAGCCGCGAAACAGCTGCCCCACATGCTGCCATCCGGAAGGCGAAGGGGCGCCGCCGGGTTGACTGAGGCGAGGCCCTCAAAAAAGGTTGCCCCCTCCGCCTTGGAGGCGGCCGGGCCGCCGCGACCCTCGGACGCTGATTGGCTGCGCCTTCGCGGGCGGGGATAGGGGTATTGGCGGGAGATTCGGACGCTGGCGACGCGGGCGCGCCAAGGGAACAAGGGACGCGTCTCCGATTGGCCCGGCCCCGGTCTCGGGCGCTCTCCCATTGGGCGGGTCGGCGGGGACTGCGTCCGCGCTGGCGGGAACCCGGAACCCGGAAGGGGAGGCAGCAGAGCAACATCGGGCTGCAGTCTTCGGGCACGGTGAAGCCTGCGGTAACTCGCTGCCCGCGACTGATGCCCGGCGCCGCGAGCCTATGTGAAGTTCCCGCCGCTGAGCTCACTTCTGCCTCTTTCAGAGCCGCCTCCTGCGCTAACCGCTTCCCCACCCCGCACACGGCCCACGGGCCCTCCGTGACCCCCACCGGGTACCCCACCCGGCGCGGCCCTGGGCCAGTCTCCACGCGTTAAGTGGTGATGCTGTGTGCAAAAGAAGTAAAGAGAAGGACTGAAGTCGAAAGAACGTCAAAGATCTCCGGGATGTAGAAGATTCGAGACTACTTGTGTTTTGTTTGTGTGTGTGGTACGCGGGCCTCACTGTTGCGGCCTCTCCCGTTGCGGAGCACAGGGTCCGGACGCGCAGGCTCAGCGGCCATGGCTCACGGGCCCAGCCGCTCCGCGGCATGTGGGATCTTCCCAGACCGGGGCACGAACCCGTGTCCCCTACATCGGCAGGCAGACTCCACCACTGCGCCACCAGGCAAGCCCTGTGTTTTTTAAATGGGTTGCATGTACCACTTTCTAAAAACGTTTGGGGGCCAGCACCAATATAAGAGAGCAGGAAGCACGTGCCGTTGAGGAGCTCCCCGACCTGAGCTGCTCTCCTGGGCCACCCAGGCATCCCATGGGACACAGCGGAGAGCTCAAGGTTGGAGGCCTCGACCAGCAGGGCCCACCATCTTGGGCCACCAGAGTCCCCTGTACCTGGAGCACCTGCATGCTGACCCCCCTGCAACCCCCAGGACCCTTCAACAAGGGTGCCCTGGAAATGGGCTTTCTGACCCCAGCTGGGAAATCAGAGGAAGATTCCCACATGGTCTGCCTCCCTTCTCTTATTCTGAGCAAAACGTGCACATTAAAAGCTGCCACTTCTAAGATGGCATCTCCCCAATTGTTGTTACCAGATCTTGAATATCAGGAAAAACAAAATATTCCAATCAAGAAAATATATAAACTCATAGTAACATTTTATTAAATAGTGTATCACTTCACTACAATAGATTTATCTTTATAAAACTAAGTAAGTTACTTTTGTAGAAAAGATAACCCCAGGCCTGGCTCTCCCTTGCCAAGCTTTGCAACTCCAGGCTGAGGCTGGGCATGGCTCCCACCTGCCCCTCTGATGGCCTTCATCTGTGGGCACCCCCGAGGACCACAAAGCTGGGCTTCTCGCTTCCAAATCCCTGGCTTTGGTGCAGCCTTGGGTGAGTTGGGCCAGCTGAGTCCATCTCCCCTGCTTAGAATGACCAGGTTTAGGGGGCTTAGGGCCCCTCCAACAGTCCCATTTGTCAGAGCTGTACCCAGGGACCTGGCACTTGCCTCCCTGCTCCCCTCCTGCACCAGCA